CCAAGACCTGCTTCTTTTTCTTAAGCTAGGACCATTTACTAAAAGCCCATGATCAAATGCATCTGAGTCAAATTGAAAAGCTGCTGATTTTCTCAGGACATACCCAGTGACCCCTACCCAACGTGTCGTGCAATGTCGCGGTGTCGCTCTGCTGCTCCAACCGGAAGCCTTGGGTGTGATCTGCTATTGTAGCTTTCTCACTCTTCTCCAACTGAATTATTACTCATTGTTCGCCTTGTTGTGATTATCTCCCGCCCAGCTTCGTTATTAAACTTGCAAAATCTTCATAGTTATTGGCGAGAACGCCATTTCCACTTGGGCGTCACAATTCTAGGTCTTCGAGTCTAAATAGGTTCTCCTCTTCACTACAGGTTTCGGAATACTGTACCGAAATATTTCTTTTTCAGATTCATTACGTAAATTTATGTAGGTATATATAGGGGTGTACTTGAAAATTTTAAACTTAGTACAAGACACAATAACTGGTATGTGTTATCTGTTTTTATGTTTAGTGAATATTCAATAAACTATTTGTTGAACCTCTTGAGACATCAACAAAAACCTTAAGTTAGTGTCGACCGTAACGTATTTTTGATAAATACGCCTTTTCTATTTGTACATGATGCTTTCTCAATTACTGAAGCGTTCAAACATTAGACAATCTGATACGTGACTACCTGTTTTATCAATCAGTGAATATAGGACATTATTTTCTGTTACTACGCTACGTCAGCACTCAGCGCCTCACAGTTGAAGGCGCGAGCTAGCGGTATCGTCACGCAGCCGACACAATTAGGTAAATGTGGGCCAACAAAGTAATTAACCAACTATGCTAATGGTAAAGCCTCCTTCCTCGTACTGTATTTAACCTCAAGCAGACAGCCCACTCTTGTGTTATTGTTCTAGCTAAGTGATTAATGGACTAAATAATTGAATACGATCAATCTGTCTTACTTTTCAACTTGGGTGATCACCTGGGCTACACATATAAACAAATTAAGTTTACGTAATAATTAAGAATTCGGGTAAACACATTAATTCATCGTGTATTGGAATAAATGATTCTTTCTAGACTTTGGGTCCTAAATCATCCAAACATCACGTATAATAATATTTCGAAGATCATTCTAATATTTCAAAAATCAATCATGGCCATGACTAGAATTAGGCATTCCATTCCTATTTTAATGCTAGAGCAAGTTTTATAATAAGCTAACGTAATAACGGGCCACCGAACCGACAAAGTGCGCTCAATGATAGATTTCCGTCAAATACGCATAGCCCTTAGCTTGACCTCTTAGCCAAACTGATGGGACAACTTATTGTAAACTATAGCATTTTACGTCACATTCTGGCGTTTTATTCTGTAGAATTCTTTTTGAGCGGCACATTATGCTCTTTGTATAGAGAAAAGTGGATACAATTGGTTCATGTAGAATGTAGATGGATCCAAAGGTCCATGGAATGTCTAGGTGTATTTATAGTAGTCAGAACTGGAGGTACACTAGCTACAGTTGGTTGTGTGTGATGTTGCGGGACTCTGGAGGAGTGGGAAGTGTACACGGAGTGACCTTTCCTCCACGACGGCATTGGCTGGAATGTGGTTCATCAACTGAGCAGTCTGGTAGTCTGACCTGGGTGACGACATCACACACACACACACACACACACCAAGGTAGTGTCGTGTCGACACTATTTATTGTACCACATGTACGAACTGATAAATACCGATTGTTGACTATGACCAAGGCAGTTGAGTTTAAATATTCGCAAATAGAAACACACATTGTATCCCTATTTTAAAGTTCCAACCAGTTTTAGATCAATAAGAACACGTTTAGTTGGGACACAGCAGAGTATGTTGCTTTGAAATTGTGTTTCCTTGCATAGTTGTGAACTAACCGGGCAGTGTTTTAATGGTTACTGCTAACAGAGAAAATTCAAAAATTGTAAATATAAAATTCCCATGTAATTCTTATGGGGAATAAGTTAACTGTTGAAGTTTGCTTGTTTATGGATATATTTTGACCAAACTTGGGAAATTTATTTATGTTATACTAAGCTATATTTTACTAAAACACACTTTATTAACCTCCCTGTTGCGGCAAATCTAGGTACTTTTTAAACCTAATGCTATTTAAATAGATTTAATTAAAAATCCAAATGGAAATTCGCTGATTCTGCAGGTTTGCTGCGGTGGGGGTATTTGAATGATATATTTGATACAGCTAGTCAATATATGGTCTACTTAATTATACAAAGTCTATAACTTTGATACTATTTTATTATAATTAGATATGCAACATCCTTGCTTAAAAGATAATAAATAATTCTCTGCACAATTCTAATTAAATAATTCACATTGTATGTGTAATCAAAACATGTTCTAAAATGTAATCATGGTTGTTTACGACCAAAAAGGGGGCCTGGGGCTCCACCCCCAGCGAGCCAAAGGCAAGTATATTTTATACAGTAAAATTTTCAAACGTGAGGAACGCACATGTTCAGTTGTTGTCCAATTAAATATTAGCCACGGCAAGAAATAAGTAAAAATTCAATTAACCTACCAAATAATCATTTGTCAATTATTAACAACTCTTAAATTGTATTAGTTTGTCAGAGAGTAAGTGTAGAGTAGTAGTAGTCAACAATTCCATCGCCGCTAACACCACAGGTAACATGACAGTTTGCGTGCTGAGACTGAGGCATGCTATAGGCGTCGCCGGAATATGCTATATCAATTCATTACCGCAAAACATGTGTACATGAGTTCTTTGCGAAATCACGTCACTCAGTTTTCTTTTGTTCATTTTTTAAGTCCCTTTCAAATGGACTAGTGTTGTGTTATTTTAATATTTTTGCCGAACGATAAATTTAATTAAGTCATGTTGTGAATTAGTTAGCGAATTTTGTTAACTATTGTAGAGGAGAAATTTGTTGTTTTAAAGATGATTAAATATGATTTAACTAGATGGTATGCTGTATGAATTTTCTAAAAGGTACGTATCATTAACATGATTAACAGACAGAATCTATTATACTATATTATTTAATGTGTTTTTAAAGTTTGGCAATTATTTTACCATTTATCTTGTTTACGTTCATCATTACAATGTCGATAGGTGTGATATTAAAGAAAATATTTTTTTGCAATTATAGGCCCCTAACCTTGTTACAGCTTATGTGGATTTAATCCATAAAAACATAACTATACATATAAACACCCTACATCTATTACATTTCATTGTATTTTTGTGAACTATTTCTACGTCCTTGACTGAAATAAAATTTACAACGAGTTCCTTCAATGGTATTGGGGAAATTTGGTTTTCAGCAAGAAGATTTGGATAAATTATAATAGGTAATACACTCATGTAAAATCGTAATTCAAAATTTAGGATGATAATAAGTTAATCCTCAACGTCTGATGGCGAACTCGGGAATTTTCAGAGCAGAATCACCCGTCACGGTCTGATACTTAGGCCCGGTCGAGCGTTAATGATTAAAAAAACCCGTAAATAGCGATAATTACTCTAAATATTACCAATTAAAACGAAAACTTCTCTCCGGGTGGATTGTTTTGCGTTAATTACTCGTTAACAGTTTGTTATTATTTTATATTATTCTGAGCCCCCCCCTTTCCAAATTGGACTTAATATTGATGTTTTGGAACTCCCATAGTGGGTTTTTCTGATAAACAATTTTGTGATGGGATGTTTCAGTTGAACAAATCCTGTCGGGGTTTAAATACTTAGAAGACGTACTCAACGATGTAACTCTAATACCACTCAACCATTCAGCACTGCTTCAACACTACCCTAGCCCTAGCTAACCCAGCGACCACAGAATTAAAATTTTTAATTCTGCGGTCGCTGAGCTAAACTAAAGCTGTGCCTAAGCTGATATTTAGGATCGTTGCTTTATAAGAAATTCCACTTGAACAATGTAAAATGCATTTACACTTCCCATTTTGCCGGATGTAAGCACCAGTAGCATTACTTACTACACTACCCCAGCCAAAAGTCAGAAACATTACTATTTTTTATACAGCAGAACCTTTGAACATTTCTCCCGGGCTTGTTTAAGTGAATTTCGTTGTTATTCTATGTGTCTAACGGGCTATAAAAACCTTCTTTTGTTTCAATTCAATTGTTTCTCTAAGTAGTGTTTTAACGGGTGAGGTATACATGTGAAAGTTGTGACTACTGTGCCCGATCCACATATAATTACACTTTTTAAAATCAAATATTGTTTTTTTTTTATACCAAAGAACCACGCTTCCCTATACACTTCACGTTACTCCGTATGTTACAACTCGGCCAACAGGTGTTCACGAACGGTGCTTGTTTGTGTTGAAGACTCAAAGAGTCTTCCAATCTATTCCCATCGCTTTTTACACCTTCTCTGAAGTGCCTAGTTCCCTCTCATTGACAACACGAGTGTTTATAAACCCCTGACGTGTTTAAAGCGCTTCTCTCTGCACCAAGTGTTCCAACCTATGTTCTTGTCGGCGTCATGTTCGAGAATCTTTTTCAACCTAGAGTGGACACATCATGGGTCATCGTCAGTTAATGAAGTTTCATGCCATGCGAGAAGAGTATCTTGGTTTGCATTTGGTATTAGTTGAAAATGTGCTTGGCTTCTATATTTTTGAGTGAGGTTTGATAAAAAGTTCAACATTACTATCGCACACATGGTTTTCGTAATATCATTGACACTATTTGTATGTAAACACATATGTGAATTCTTATGTGCAGTAGAGCCAACACATCTCGACTTGTTACCACTGGACGACTTCTGTGATGAAAGCGAGTAGATCTAGTGGCAGAGCTTGAGGCTTCGGGACCCGAGGTCCCAAGTTCGAATCCAAACGTGAATAAGTTTTGACCCTCTTCCTACCCCGAAGAAGCCTCAAGATGCGACGAAAAGACGTGAAATATAGTGTATTTATGCACTTTATTCGGTCATCATCTCATTGAGAATTTCTACTTAATTTGCAGGCGGAGAGGGATCGTCTGGCCAGAAGGCAGCAAGAGCTGGAGCGTCGCTTGGAGACCAAGGACAACGAGCTTCACGACAAGGAAGAGGAGCTGTTCTTGCAGCTGGAGAAGGCCATCAGGCTGGAGGAGGATTGTGAAAAGGTAAATAGCTTGTTGGCTTGATTTTTGGAACACATGTGGTTGCTATGGCAACCTTTAGTTGTTCTGTAGTAGGGGGAGATGCACCAATAAGGGATATGCCTCAGACTCGACAGACTTAGGTACTACAGTATGCAGAAGAAAGCATGACATTAGCTACTATGCTATCAACATCTTCGTGGAGATTAGAAGTAAATTCCATTTGAGTGCTTGAATTGAATGGATGGATCCATTTCTCCTCCTGATTGAATGCGTGTAAACAATACTAGCTCTTGATTGCGATTTTACACTTCTCATAACCACGTAACAAATTACTCTTCTTATCTCTATTGATCATAATGTAAAACCGATTCTATTATATACATCGATACAGCAGCTAATTTCTTTTTTCGTCTGGTCATACTGGTCCTATGAATCCTTTTGTGAAGATCAAAACCTGTTCGAATGCAAATAAATCAAACATAGATAAAGGAATAATTAAAATACTATATGTTCAAATTTAAAGCACAAACGCAGTTTTCATTTACGATGGCAGAAATGCCAGCGTAGACAAAAATAGCAAAGATCTAACATTATGCTCATACGAAAGACCTCGGTCGAGACTACCTTGATGAACTAATTGTTCTGCTAATTGGATATAATTTGACGTGCGTCACTTTGCAAAGTAATCAAAGTCACTTGTCAACGCAGACTGTGGGTGGGTGGTAAACCCCGTGGACACACAACGCGTGATCATAGGCAAACAACCAAGTCGTTACTCGGTTGAAGTTGGTTTGTTCATGTAATATGTTAATAGAAATTCTCTGTACGATACTGTTAAACACCCAGATTTAATCGGGAAATGTTGAAAATTGGCAACTAAACATTTTATAAGAGTTAAGTAAATGTCAAAGCACTGTTCAACTTGATGACGACACTGGGAAGTAGTCTACTGATACCGGCGATACCGCCTGTGTACACACGCCGTAGTGCGTTGAACTTATGAATGGAGCTATTAATACTATCACCGGCGTTATCAGTGCTGCGCTATCACAGGTTCCAATGTCACCACACCACTACTGTAGCATGCCGGCTGGAACTTGCAGTAATTAAATAAATATAATTCCCGTATAATTTGATATTGAACTTCTTTCATTCAATGATAATTTGTATTGGTCAAAATTATCTAACTACTGTGCCTTGTACTGAATAGTTAATTAAACATTTGTTCAAACGAGCGATAAACATTGTTTATCAAAAACACATTTTGTTTCTGCCATTTTCATTAATTTTGTTTCACATGATTATGATTCTTTTGTTACTGTTTGGTGAACAAATAAAATAAGGCATAAGAGTATTGAAATTGGTGTAAATACCTGCTTCTGTGTAATCCAATAGTTGCAAAGTTACGCAACTAGTTTCAGTTTGACGAACTTCTGATGAAGTGATTGTGACGCCTGAAGATGACTTCTTCATTAAGTTGAAACTAGTTGCGTGACTTTGTAACTATTGGATTACACAGAAGCAGGCATTTACACCAATTTATATATTCAACGTAATCCGGAGGCTAACATCAAAAAATGAAATAAGAGTATTGTTACATACAGGGTGAGTTTTAATTATCCCCCCCCCATAATTTTTTCTACATTTTTTCAAATATCAATCCCAGACCACTTCCAAACATTGTTGGGTAGTAAGAACTTCATTTTGACAAGGTGGTCATTTCCGGCCGCCATCTTGGATCCGCCATATTGGATGCAAAATATTTTTTTCAAATGTAAAGGTGGGGTTGTGACCCATTATTCCGAACTAGATTTTTACTCTGATTACAATGCCACAAACCGTTTTTAAAAAAATTGATTCATTGCAAAGTTATGAGGGCTTTTTAAAACTTTTTTTAGCCCATTTTAACATTGTGCATCTACAAACTAAGGCCATAATCTCAAAATAGTGCTAGATAATGATAAGTATACACTACCAGTCATTGTTGACCTATTTTCACTTGGTTATGGCTGATGTATTTTTTTTCGGCCGCCATCTTGGATCCGCCATTTTGAAATGTGATAAATTAATTTTAAATATGAAGGGGGTGTTGTGACCCATCATTTCGAACTACTTTTTAAAGCTAAACTCAATTCCATGATCCGTTTTTCATTTTCATATTTTGATTTTGAAATATTGACATTTTTAACAAACAAATTGCAATATTTCATAAATAAAACTTGATAACAAAAAATGAATTGCGGCATTGAGTTTAGCTTAAAAAAGTAGTTCGAAATAATGGGTCACAACACCCCCTTCATATTTAAAATAATTTATCACATTTCAAAATGGTGGATCCAAGATGGCGGCCGAAAAAAATACATCAGTCATAACCAAGTGAAAATAGGTCGACAGTTACTGGTAGTGTATACTTATCTTTATCTAGCACTATTTTGAGATTATGGTCTTGGTTTGTAAATGCACAATATGGGCTAAAAATAAAGTTTTAAAAAGCCCTCATAACTTTGGAATGAATCAAGATTTTTAAAAACGGTTTGTGGCATTGTAATCAGGGTAAAAATCTAGTTCGGAATAATGGGAACCCCACCTTTAAATTTGAAAAAAATATTTTGCATCCAATATGGCGGATCCAAGATGGCCGCCGGAAATGACCACCTTGTCAAAATGAAGTACTTACTACCCAACAATGTTTGGAAGTTTTCTGGGATTGATATTTGAAAAAAATGTAGAAAAACGTATGGGGGGGGGGGCAATTAAAACTCACCCTGTATATTTGTGTTCAACCTATTAATATATTGACGTACGTATAATAATCAACTGTTTGCTAAGCGTAGCAAGTTGAATTAGTTACATTGTTGTACATCATATTGGGTTTCATTCGGTGTAATCATTATTAAAGAAAACTTTATTTTACGACGAGTCTCATAAAATATGTCTAGGAAACGATTGCATTATGGTGCCTCAAAGTCAGTTTTGTATGTATTTAATATAACTTTGTTACTGACTCAAACAAGCAAGAAATGGGATTAAGTCTGTTTCCCGTAGTTTTTCGATCGACAATTAGGTACTATGAAATAACCTATTAATATTTTGCCGAGACAAAAAAATCAATATGGAAATTACAACCCCCCATGCCTAATTTTGAGCACTATATCAGTAAGTTGCAGTAAGTGTCCAGGATGAACCCTCCAGTAGATTACCGTTATTTACTAACCGCAGTGTTGTGGTTGCGGCGTTGCAGTTGCATGTAGGACAATGCTCGATGATGCAACTGAGGCGACTCGTGATGCAGTCGTTTACCTCGCCAGGCTTTCTCCTTCATTCAGCCTCTAACTGCTCGATAGCGATGAATCAGATTATCAAGTGCTACCTCTGCACGTCGCTGTCGGTTGGACGGTCTACTCTGTTTACTATGTAGGGTTGAACGAAGCAATGTTTAATTAGTGTGGCTTGGAGGGTGTTCTCCAAATAAAGTGACTTCTCCTTGAATTGGAAAACAATCGTTTTACGACGGATACAACACAACATGATGCAACAACAATGCTACACTTTGGGATATAGCTGGGTATGGGTAATAAAGCTGGGTAGAACAAGGTGGCCTTTGAATTACTGGGTGATAGCATACCCATAGCTAAAGATTTCTTGATTTGCGAGATCTTGATTTATTATTTAATCCAATCATTAACCAACTGTGATTTAAAAGAAAACACTTATGCGTGTTGTGTTTATAATAGCCTAATTTAGACTAAGTTAGTAAAATTTGGTTTAGGTTTGTACCTTTAATTTGCTTACTATTTATTATGCTAAGTTAAGCCTAGATTAAATACTTATAGCAAGAAAAATGATTAATCTGAAGAATTTCTTAACAATACAAATTTAATGAACTAAAAAATAAGATATTACAATGATGAATGGGTAAATGAACAGATAACAGATAAGTTAAGTTATAGGGTTGCCATCTTTGGTTTAGCCTAGCTCAGTAAAAACAGAACAATGAGTTTACAATTTAGTTTAATTACATAAATCTTCTCAGGGAGGGGAAACTCGGCTGGCTAAAAAGATCTTCAAATATTTTAATTTATGAAATAGGCCTAAAATGCCAATTATTATGAAAAATGGGATAATATTGATATTGCTCTTAGACTTGGATAGGTAAATTAAATAAGTCCAACAATGAATAGACTAGGTGAAAAATTTATTAAAGTTGAATTTAGTTCTCTTGTCAAATTGTTTTTCTGGTATTATTCTTGATGAAATAAAATAGTTTTTGAATTCAAATAATTAGGTTCGATGATCAGAAAGTAAATAAAATAGGTCTATTAAGTTGAATTTCTTGAAGGTAGGCTAAGCCTATACAAAATGGAGAGTTCTCACCAGATCTTCAGTAACAGTGTCCAATTTATATAAATCTTGAGGTGGTAGTACAAATTTGAAATGAAAAAAAATGTATATATAAAAGCTAAACTGTTCTTCTGTTATTAAGTTAGGTAATGTTAAGTTAAATAATTTTGATCACTGACTTTATAAATATTAGGGATTATACCCTCACTGAATTTAAGGTGTTGATGCTGCCATGTCCCAATAGAGAAGGATGAAAATTTTTATTTTACACAGGATGATCAGAGTTCATTGTTGAAGCCAGCTGTCTTCTTTCTTTATCACTTGCAAATGCACTAATAATCAGGCTTTTGGATAATAATTCAATGTTGGGGTTTTAGAAATAATTTAGACTATATTAATAATTTTGGATAAAAGTGTTATTGCAACTATGGACTTAATTACAGGTTACAGGATTTTATTAACAATAATTGTTGAATATATAGGCCTACAATATATTTTAAAATGTGATGATGGTTTCTGAGGGGTGATTAAAGGATAATATAATTTAAATTTGCTATGAATTTTCTGACAATTTAGTTAAATAGGCTATATGGCGAATTTTGGTACAATAAAAGAAGAATTATTATATAACTAAAGAATGAATGTAGTGAAAGGTCTAAAAATGACATGTAACATTGCAG